GGCTCATGCTTCATATTGTTCTTTCCTACATTGTAGCATATCCAGTATGTCTCCCTTAAGCCCTGACGTCTGTGGTGACTTACTGGGATACAGAGCACTTACTCAGAGATATAACACAATTGGTGCTAATTTGAGGCATAGAGGGAAGGCAGTTGGCATGGAAGCCTGGTGAAAAAGGAATTAAATGTGCAAAGTACAGGGCTGCAAATTTGCAGGTTACTTGTATTATGAATAATAGCAGTGCCAGATGAATCATTTAGTCTGACTGGGTTACATTAACCAAAAAGCTGTGATAATTGCTGTCCAGAACCGTGACATGTGCATCAGTTCCTGTTGTCCCCAGTGACTCTGTTAGAAGCTGGATTCACAATGAGAAGAGTGAGAGCAGAGGGAACCTGGGCAAGATCAAGCCACGTAAGCCCAATGAGCCCCATGGATGAGGCAGAAATATCAAGAGACCAAATGGTGGGAGTAGGGCTCAATATAAAGAGAGAAGTCCAGCATGAGGAGTCAGAATATAAATGAGCAAAATCCCACAGGAAGCAAAAACACACAAGGTAATTCTCTATTAACAAGTCTAGGCTTGTGGTATGTCTTTTTAGGCTATTCACACTGTGGTTGTGCACGATACAGCCTGGCTAACTTCCAATAGTTCAATTCACTGACATGAGTCATTCCGTAATTCTCAACTACTACAAGCGTATTTTCTTGCTTGCTGAAATTATTTTTGATCTGAGATGTGGCCAAGAATGATCTTCCATCACTTTTTCTACATCAGTAATAAAGTCATCCTGACTTCTGAACGTTTGCTTTTCAGAAATAGTTACACAACTTGCCCCACCTGACTTTCAGATATTGAAAGTGTGTCTAAAGAAGCTTCAGTGCCAAGTGGGGGGGGGCTCTTGTTCAGGAACACAAGAATTCCAAATGGACCTAGAAACCTCCCAGAACTCTTCATGAGAACAAGCAAAGTTGTCCTGACCGAGGTGAGTGCATTGGGTCATTCCATGACAAAAACCTGCAGTATGTGAATCTACTGAAAAATCTTGAATTAGAGAATACATATGAAATTTGGAGGTGCACAATGTACTTGCCCCAGTTAACACCTAAATACCTGGGGCTGCAAAAAGCCTCACATCTTAGGGAACCTACAATGAACTTCCTACAGGTTCAACCTCACTACCTCTGCAGGCTGGTTTATCAAAAGAAAAAACACTGACCATACTGAGTTGTACTGATTGTGACCACTCACTCTACCTGGATGCAAATTCCAGTCTGCTATTAGCAATCCTGTACCTGGCACTGACCACTCTTGAGATTCTAGAAAATCTCCTAGGATGCTGACTGGGAGATGGCTCAGAAGAAAAGGGAATGGTGCTCCCCTACACCCCTAGCCTAGTCGCACATCATTTTCTGGACAACAAAATGATTGACGATTTAAAGCTCAATACAGAAAGCACTGAGAAGGTTCTTGTGGTCATCCTTGCCATCCCTCTAACACAATGTGCAGGAAAAAAGTAACAAGTAACTAAGGAGAATCTGGCATTAAATGCAGGTCCCACCTCCCATGCCTTAAGGAGGCATTATTGTCTGAATTTAAGATAAAATGAGTAAGTTCTCAGGAACACTAACATTCTGTATCTTGATCTATGTGTGGGTTTATAACAAGTATATACATTTGCCAAAATTCGCATAAGATTTTGTGCAATAAATTATTCTCGGCAAAAAAAGGGGGGGGCCACTACAACATATTGTTAGTAAACAGAAAAATACAGGCACTACAAATGTACAGGGGCTGGCTGGTTACTTACTTGGTTACAGCATGGTTCTGACTAACACGGAGGTACAGGGTTTGCCTGTATTGGCAAACCGCCAAAGAATAAAAAAACGTATAGCTCTCAGTGAATTACAAGGTGAACATATCTGTGACTATACCCACAAAAACAACATCCACTGATTATCAACACCACGAAAGCTCTCTTCTTAGTCTCTTCTAGTTACTTCAAGGTATCTACCATCCCAAATTTCTGTAACTAGATAGCCTTACCTCCTTCTCTCTCAAACTTTCCATAATGGCACTTTCTATAAACAGAACCATAACATATGTACCATTTTCTATTTGTCTTTTGTGGCTCAACAATCTGAGTCTCATTCACATTATTAATTCTCATTAATATACAGTATTTCATTGTATAAATACATCCATTCCCCTTTGCAGCTATTAAATAGGGTGCTAGTACGAACATGTTTTAATCTAGGTGAATATTTATTCAATTACTGCTGATTTGAGTGATCCTAGAGTTCTCCCTTTACCAAAACAAAAATAAAGTTCTAAAAGAGCTCCTACTTTTCATGCAGAAAACCAACACACTGCACATACCAGCACCATTTCAAGTTCACACTTGTCAGGAAGACAGGCTTGTCTAACCCTTTTATTTCTACTGTTACAGAGATGCATCCATTTCATCTCGCCCAATAAAATGAGACCACTGTAGCTCTATCTCCTGCCACAGAAGACAGAACTTAACTCATCAGGCAGTCTCTGAAGCTATGGATAATAAACCCACACACCTAGAAATGGGCAGAAGATTAGATAACTGTCATCAATGCAACAATGATCAATATATTGCTAGTACAATTTTACCAACTTTTTATCTTTTTTCAGAGAGGTAGAGAAGCAAATCTCAGATATCAGGTCATTTTAGCTCTAAGTATTTCACTATATCCTTAACTGATAAGGACAAATTGTTAGACTACATGAACCTCAACATGGCTCAAGCACCTGTCATTAGTCTTCAGAAAAACACAAATTAAAACAGTAAGATAACACACATCTACTTGAATGTCTAAAAAGTGTAAAGAACAAGTAAAGGTGAGGATGAGGAGCAACCAGAACTCTCATAAACTATGCAAGGTAGTGTAAAATGGTAAACACTTTTGAAAACTTAAAGTATATAGGACATGTAGACCCAGCAATTCTACTTTAGAATGCACCCAGCAGAAAATGCACGCACCTATCATAAATCATGTAATAGTAACTCATAATAGCCACAGGTAGAAACAATCAGGTGTTCATCACATAATGGAATTCCACAGGGCATTTAAAATGACAGTTACAACTGTTGACAATATAATTTTACCTTGCAGATACAATGTTTAGTGAAAGACACCAGACACAAAAATATAAGCCGTGTACTTTCATTTACATAGTTTCAGCATTGTGCAATAAGAGGTTTGAAGGTGCTCCCTTTAAAAAAATGATTTTATAATAACTATTTTAGATATTAAAATGTCAGACCGGTTTGTCTATCATTATATCTGTAAATTGGTAATGGTTGCCTGCAACAATGTGAGGTAATGGATTGTCAGCCAACAGAAAGAACCAAAGCTGGACAATGGGCACCTAATGCCATCTTTGCTATTATTGACCTATTCCAATTAATTCTCAATCCTTAAATAGATACCTATTTTACAATCAAAAAGTAACCTGTTGAATTACTGGTAAACTGACTTTTTACCCAAATAATTTTTAGTTCTGCCATCCTTCACATCAAAATGCTTAAAAGAACAAAGATAATCATGCTCATATTAAGTTGCTTAAACTAAATCAAAATGCAATCAAAGCTGCATATATAGGACCTTTTAGATTTCCATTATTCAGAATAAAAATCTGTTTCTCTGTATTTTAACCTTATACCACCTTCATCATTTATTCAAATATTTGGGTGCAGGAATACTTCTTCAAGAGGTATGTCATAAACAGCTTTGGTAGATAAAACAAAAAATCAGATTTCCAACTCTTCAGATTAAGAGTACAAGGGAGTTCATAGTCAGCTCTCTCAGCATTAAGCCACAATTGACAAAAAATATTATGTTCAATTTTTTATTTTAGTAAAATCAGAATAAACATAGCACATGCAGTGCTAGCATCTAAAATACAATAAAAACAATTACTACATTCACAGTGACTTGAGGTTCAGTGTTTACATTCGGCAAGTCAAATCCATTCTTTTTTACTGAAAATATTGCTGGCTGATACAACTGAATGTAAAAGTCACTATTAACGGCAATACTGAAAGATAACCACATGTTTGAGGAATGCAGATATACCACATAGTCACTGAAAACCAAACCAAACACAACACAAAACTAAACAAAACTCAGAGGACATTTGAGAACATGGACATTCATCAGTGTTTAGAAGTGTTTTGATAATATCTTAAGAGTAGTGTATCAAAACCTTGGCATGTTTTAATTTCAGATTGCTAATTTTGTCTTAAATTTTGTCAAAAAATTCTATCTATATTGCCAATGCCAGGTCTGCTTAATTTGACTTAAGTTTAATAGGACTTAACATTAAAAGCTCACACTACTCCAAAACATATTATTTCACATATGGTTACATTCAACATTCAGTGCCAGTGTTTTTGTACTGTGTTTTGGTCAAGTTTCTTTAAGCTTTCAAAGAATCATTTTAGGTTTACAAAAATAAATATCTGTCAAAATGTTCAATAAATATTACATGAACTAGCAGCAAAAAGTATCTAAAATCTGTTGTGTGCAAACAGTTTTCTTCTCTCTCTACTATCATTCCATGGTCCCACATAAAATTTTAGATTCTAGTTCTTGACAAGCTGCGTTCAACCATCTCCAAGAGACAAAATAAGACTGGAAGCTTAAGGACATGCACACAATACAATATATATAAAATTCTCTGAATGTGCAATAAAATAAGTGCTTTGTAAAAAGTTATGGGCAAAAGGTAGAAGAGTCTAAACCTATACTAATTGAAATAGCACCATATAAATGACTTCAAATACTGTCAAGTGCACCTACTTTAATAAAGTTTTAAAACAAGGCACAATACACCTGAAAACCTATTGCACTTTAAAAATAAGTTTTTGCCTACTTGTGCCACTATAAAGACATGTTTTTAAAGATCATGGCATTCTGGCCACAAAATCAGCACAGAATTCCAAGTGGGAGAGGCATTTTTAGTGGCAGACAATCATCTTTGGCCAAATTCAGCATAAAGAGATTATAAATACAATAGAAACATATGCAAATAGAATACAATAAAACTGCATTATAAAGAACTGACACCTTGTGGAGTTTAGTACATATTTCCAACTTGTGTGATCTCAAGGATTTCAGTTTGTTATTCTCAAATTTAAAGTCTACAATGTAAGCCATTTTAACATTTCAATGCAGCTTTAACAAAGTAATGTGAATCTGCTTTAAAATAAAGCCTGCTGCATAATCCTCCCTGTTCACATTCTCTTGACCAAAAAACATCAACATTAGCATGCGTTGAGACCAAAATCCAACCACGCTTGTCTGAGAACTCTCATTGCCATGGTCAGCCATTCAACATTTCAATTTTATTTATGGCAGGCATTTAAAAATATAATTAAATGAAATCTCCCAAACACTCTAAATTACCAGGCCTTTAAACTTTTCCCACAATAATATGCCTAACATGTGCCTAGCTTATAATTAATAAATTGCCTAAACTTTAAATGAGGAATTGCTGTATTCACTTGAATTAACTTTGAAAAGTGCCTTCAAAAATGTTATGGGTGTGTTCCCACCTCATGACAGGAATGACTTATTTAAAGAATATAAGGTTCTAAGTGCTATCCAGGATAGAGTGAGCAAGTCAGAACTTTAACTTAGTATAGTTTGCCGCATTAGAAACTAATTATGCTTTCAGATGGATCCCCCCTCCAGTCTGTAAGTATCAAAATGTCCTAACGCAGGCTACTGAATGTTTTTTTTATCATATTTATGAATAAATTGATGTTCCCTGTTAAGTTGTATCATACCTGTGTGCCAAGGTTTGATTTTACCTCAAGTTCAGTAAATTTATTTTGCCAAAACAAGTGGTGTTTTGAGCTTTACTGAGCCAACAGGACATCAAAATAATAAGTTGTCTAAAGCTAAAGCTACAGTACATTAACAAACAAATGATCCTTAGTCACAAAATTATAAATGCAGTTTGGGGTGGGACTAAACAGGAGGGGAGTTAATCCAAACTACAGCAATTAAATCTTCAAACCATTACTGAATGGGGCTGCTGATTGTTCCTTTCATTTCTTCTTGTGACTCTGAGTTCCCTTGAGTTTTCAGGAGAATCACAGATGGTAATGTATTGCAAGTTCGTGAAGCTACACGATACAATCTGGCTAAGTAACATTTGGTTTCCATAATAGCTTGTTTGAAGGAGAGACTCTTACGTAAAGCAGATTCAGTTGCCCCACCAGTCAGCCCCCTGGGAGTTATAATTTCCTCCATATCCATCACTCCTGTAGAAGCCTCCATAGCCACCTATCAAAAAATGTTTAAAAAATGTTAAAAATGTAAAAAAGAGATTATTGCCTCATCCCCCTTTATCTCAAATACTTTCATGTAAACTTAAAAGAACACACAGAAATAAACTACTGTTGGATTTTGTGTTCTTTGGAAATTAGATTTCCCCAATAAAACATGCTTTGAAAAATATGACTAAGGAAAAAAAAAAAAAGGCTCCAAAGGAAATATTTACATTACCTCCACCAAATCCTCTGCTGTTGCTGTGACCACCTCCACCACTGCGGCTGCTGCTTGCACCACTACCACTAAATCCAGAGCTGCTGGAACCACCACTTTGTCGATAGTCTCTGGCACCAAATCCTCCACTGAACCTACTATTGTAAAGAAAACATGGTATGGTGGTTTTATAAGTATGAAATTCAATTAAAAGATCAATTCCTCCTTAAACTTCTTGATTCTCAATTTAAACTTTTAACTCAATTCTCATGTGGTCAGGTTCTTCTAATAGTGTATATCAGCAGTGAAGGGCTAGCAATTCCATGTCATCTTTCCTAATAATTACCCTTGTCCAAATTACTTAAGTAACTGAAGTTAACTGTGTAACACTTTAAGTTAACCCTGAATGTTAACTCTTGGCCCCAACAATTAACAACAGTGAGGCACAAAACAATTCGTACCTCTTAGAACGTCCACGACTGCTACCTTTGTAGTGATGTTCATGAGCCATATTTTCAAACCAGGATGGCACTTCCTGTTTAGCTTCAACAAGAAGATCCAATAAATCCTTTGTGATATTTATATTCCTTTCATTAAAGAATGAGGTGGCAAGGCCTAAATAGTTAAAAAAAAAAGTACATAAAAAGGCTAGGTTTCCACAAGATAGAGCCCAGTGTTCCTAAATGTCTATAATTAATTAAATTAACATATACATTCAGGTATTAAACACACTATTCCAGCCTGACAATTTGACACATAAAATAAACATAACATGCACCATACAAGATAAAATGCCTAAGACCACATAGCCAAAATAGCTCTACTTTGACTGTTAAATTGAACCATACAGCCTCAATGAAAATTTTACTAGTTCTTCAAAATTAAGGTCAAATATAATTTTCAAAAACTACAAATAAAACTATTAAAATTAAGATGATATTAGATATGACATCATAATTTGCACAACCTAAAAAACTTCTGGTTGGCTGATTTATCTTATGTTAGCTTTTCCTTGAAAGTAAGGGTTCTACATTCTGTGCCAAATACTTCCTTTTATGCATTACAATAAAAAAGAGAACATCCCACCTAGGTTTCCTACACGTCCTGTACGGCCAATGCGATGTACATATTCTTCTATATCATTTGGCAAATCAAAGTTGATAACATGTTTCACATTTGAAATGTCCAGTCCTCTTGCTGCCACCTGAAAAATAACTTCTATTAAGAAAAAGAAATACTCAAACAGGATTAACTCAAAAATAAAATATACACACAGCTGTTGCCACTAGAATTGGGCTTTTCCCTGAGCGGAACTGGTGAAGGGCTTCCTCTCGATCTCTCTGTGATCGGTCTCCATGAATACTGGTACAAGCATATCCTTCATGGTATAAGAATTCCTCCAGAGAATCTGCACCCTTTTTGGTCTCCACAAACACTAAAGTCAGAGAACCCTTCCCTAAAAAAACAGAAGACTTTGTTTACCAATAGTGATTTAGTATCACTGCCTTTTCTAAATTTTAGCTGGCTTACTCCTCTCCTTTTATTTTGTAAACATGCAAAGAGAGGCAATTAAAGTAATCTTTGTTTTAACCATGTTTAGAAATGGTGTGAGCAAAAGCTGGGGTTAAGTGGTCAGGGAACAGAAGAAATTTAAAAGAGAAAAGCTCTAGGAGACACTGCTTTGAAAGCTATTCTCAGTGTTCTCCTTGCTTGCAAGGAGAGTACTTGCAAGTAATAAAGCTGCTTGAAAAACGATGAGAATTCTATAGAGATTCTACTTACAATTAACTGACACTATTATTATTCATAATTTTACCTGTTGCATTTAGAAGGTCAAGCAGAAATGAACGCTTATCAGACTCTTCCACCCAAATTATCTTCTGTGTGATGTTCTCAGAGGTAGAGCCAACTCTACCTACAGCCAAGAATATATAATCATCTAAGAAGTCACGAGCAAGCATCTGAAAAAGTAAAAAATAAGTTAAAAACCCCTAATTTACCTATTTTAATACACACTTATCAGAACCTATTTACCTATAAACACATATATTCTAAATAAAAATAGTTACAGCAGTACCTGTATTTCCTTAGGAAAAGTAGCACTAAACATCATAGTGTGACGAACACCCTTTGGTGGCATAGTATCTTGTTCAACTATACGATGTATCTGAGGTTCAAATCCCATATCCAGCATCCTGTCAGCTTCATCCAATACTAAGTATCTGTTACAAAAAACACTCAGTTGATACTGAATAGATCACTGGATCTATGTTGTGAAACTGACCACTGAGTACAGAAATGTCTTTCTACAATTAATTAGGCTAACGTCCACATTTAGGGATTCCAGCCTGACAATCTAACACATATAAAACAAACAGAAGAGTATACACATCACTAGACAAAATGCCCAAAATCACATACCCAAAATTCAACCACACAGCCTCAATAAAAATTTTACTTGTTTTTCAAAATTAAGGTTAACTGTAGTTTTCAAGAACTACAAGCAAAATTATTAAAATTAAGAAAATATTAGTAAAAAAAACTGTTATATTAAATAATAAATATAACTACAACACAAAAAAATTGGCACACTATATACACATATTACAAAATAAATTAATTAATAAATAAACATACTTGCAGAAGTCTAATCCAATCTTTCCTCTTTCCATCATATCAACAAGACGTCCTGGAGTGGCTACTAACAAGTGGCACCCACGTTCTAAGTCCCGAATCTGCTGACCAATATCAGCACCACCATAAACTACACAAGGACGAACTCTAGACCGGTAAGAAAACTGTAAGCAAAAAATTAGGTAGTCACAAAAACATTATTACAATGAAAAACATTATTACATGAAAAACTCAGTAATCACTAAAACATGTATTTACTTTTCTGGCTTCCTCATAGATCTGTACAGCCAATTCTCTTGTTGGGGCTAAAACCAAGGAGATTGGGTATTGTTTGCGGCGCCCGTACCTTCCATTTTCCTAAGAAATAAGTATAATTTTCAATTCTGTGACCTAAAACTTTTAAATTCTTTATAGTTCATCACAGCAAGATTCCTTTGTAATTTAAGGATTACATTTAAACCTGGATTTCATCAGATAAAGAGATTGGAAAAAAGTTAAAAAAAAAATAAAAATGAAGTATAACTGCCATGGTTAAAAAAGTCAATAGGTATTTACAAAACTTCTTTAAAACAAAATTCTTACACAAATCTTTACCTTCACAGCCTTCAAAGCTTCACCGGGACCATCTGCATATATTTGACTCAGGATAGGCAAAAGAAATGCTGCAGTTTTTCCAGATCCTATTAAAAAAACACTTATTAATTTTACATATTAATAACAGTGTTCCAAATATCCCTTTATTAGAAGAAATTGTTCTTGTTCTGCCCAATTTTCTGGGAAATAAAGTGAATTTGTAAAGCTTAAGCTAAGAATGTAAAGTAACTTCTTGATCCATTTTTATTTTTTAGTTTTTTATTTTTTTCTTCACCCCTTCCCTTGATCCATTTTTAAATAATGAAATGAAAAACAATGTATTTCATTTTAAGCAATGAAATACAAAACGATACTTCTTTACTTTTTAATTTGTACCAAAGCACAACCATTTTGCCTCAAATGTGGTATAAACTTCCATTTTAACATTTTTTTTTGTAGGCATGTATACTACTGGAATGTAAAACAAAACAAGGGTCAGTAAATTTCTGTAAAGAGCCTAAAACCGTAAGGCCTTTGTGGGCCAATCTCTGCCAATCTGTGGCTATGTTTGATACAAACAAATGTGTGTGGCTGTGTTTGAAAAAAAAAGTGTTTTTTTTTTTTTTTTTAAATTAAATAGTGCTTGATTTGGCCTTAGGGCTACAGGTTTGTAAATTCCCATAGTGTAAAAGATGCAATTCTATTTCTTAAAGAAGATATTAAAAATGATATGGAAAGAAAATTTTGCCTTCTCTTTTTACCTAGGCCAAATCCTGATACAGGACTACCCTACTGCCAAAACTCTAGAGAGGGAGGTATCTTTTTATTTTCCCTACCCATATTTTTATAGGTTACAGGATTTTCCAATTTTATATTTCTTATCCCAATTGTATTAACTTTTCCTCCACTGCATTCACAATTTTTCTCTGTTGCAGCAATATCATACTGACAATTTGCTATACATTCCCCAAGACACCCTGATGAAAATATTAATTTCATCCTAAGAATCGAAACAAGTAAGACAAAAAGACACAATGCCCAGTTAATCTTGACCTATCTCAAAAAATCATGTTAAATACAGGACTCAAGTCTCCCTACAGAAATATTACTTTTAGAGTAATTCCAGTTAAAGGTATTCTTAACTTTTTTATCTAGTGAGTGAGCTTACCTGTTTGGGCACAAGCCATTAAGTCTCTTTTTTCTTTGATAATAGGAATGGCATATTTTTGCACTGGAGTAGGACGAGTATAACGAGTAAGCTCAATGTTTCCCATGATAATTTCTCCCATCTCAACATCACTGAACTGTCATAAAATTTAAGCACATCAATCAAATATAAAAACAGAAATACTGTATCTGCTGCAATTTCTGTTTTATACCAATATAACAGTGGAAGTAGCAGTCTGTGATTTAACTTACAGTTGCTTTGATTTTAGGTAACCGTATCATGGTATTTTTTAAGAACATGGACTCCTGGATCTAATATACACTGAAAAAGTTTTTGGATTCTTCATATATGTTTGACACGTTTTCTATTCAGGATTGTTCATAATGGTGACAATCAATCTGTCTTTTCCCATAACCTAATGGGTTTTTATTAGGAACTAATAAAGAACTGTTAAAAAAAAAAAAAACTTACACTTTCAATATGTGGAGGACAGTTATTGCCAGTTGCCTCTACTGGTATATCATCATATTTCTCAAAGTTAATTCCAGTGTTTCCTCCAGAAAAGAGCTCCCTGAAATTGAATAATAATTACATATATTATACTAGGTAATAAGTTTCATAAGAATTAGCATACACGTCAAAAACTTACCGCTCCAAGTGTTCACTTGGTGGAAGTGGTTTTGACCAATCATCTTCATCTGATTTGTCACACCAACGACTATGACCACTCCGCTCAAATCTGCCAAAGCCAGTTCTGTCACCACGACTGCTGAAACCATCATAATCACTCCGTCCACGACCATCATATCTAAACAGAAAAAGCAATCAGAATATGTCACGTAGCCAATGTCAGATTATCATCTCTCAAGAACTGTACTTGGGTGTTAGTTGAATTGTACAACACAACTACCCTTTAAGGACATCAAGAATTCAATAGTGACTTACCTCTTTTGTGAAATAACGCCTTCTAATTAACCAATGTTTATGTGTAATTTATATCTTCATTTTAAAAATTCTTATGAAATTATACTTTAAACAGATCTCACATACTAAGAATTAATACTTATAACTAGTGTGTAATTTACATCTTCATTTTAAGTAATCATCTAAAATATATTTTGTGGTAGAAAAGCAAGAATACAAGACTTAAAATTCTGTAGAGTTCTAGTCCTATTTAGAGAAAAAAACAGAATAAAGGACTAAATTCAGATATTAAGTTCTTAAAATCTATTTCACCACACTGTGCAGTCAAAAGTGCTTAAAAACAATCACAGAAAAACCATAAGTATCTCAACTAAGTAAAAACAAATTTCATTATATCAATAGCACATACTTATTTCATCTAATTTAACAAATTAATTTTATGAAAGACCTCTTATAACTAACAAAATGGAGTAAACCCATTTAAAACCCATTAACAGTCTGTTAAAGAAGAAAACATGCTTAAGAATCACAAAAAGTATAAAGAATGAGAACTTATCAAGTTAATCTTGCTAAATTGCTATCATATATACACATAAGCTAAGAATTTACCTTCCCCTTGACCAACTTCCACGATCACTGAAGTAACCAGGCTTTCCTCTTGAATCACGTGACCCAAAACTGCGGTAGGCATCCTTATCTTTACTACAACTCCGCCCTGAACTGTCTTTATCATAGAATCCTTCAACAAAAAGCAAAAATTAGAAGTTGACAATACCTTTACAAAATTCCCATTTTCCTAACCATGAAGCTCTTAATGGACAAGGCTTCCCTTTATCTTATCCTGTGGGACCGCAAAGGTCTATGAGTCCCATAAACAATTTTTACAATCTTTAATCCTCTCTTCAACCTAAAATTATTATCCTAAGTAATGTAATGTCATTGTTAAGAACAATGTTCTGTATTAATACTACCCCTAACAGTTTTCACATAACACAAATATAGTACTATACTATACTTCACTGTTCTATCACCACACTAATAATTTGGTTTCCATTCATTTTATAAGTGTAAACAATATATGCTAAAAACATGAGCCTACTCTAATAAAATTATTTTAATAAGACTGTGAGTCTTAAGGCATGACTGATCTCAAAAAGGATCTTTAGTGTTTCTACCGAACTTTTAAGCTCAAAGGCAGCTCTAGTTAAGAGTTTCAGCTAAGTCCCATTCCTAAATAAAAATCTGACAAACATGTATACAAAAGTTGTTAAATTCAATTATATAACATATAGGATGCACAATACAAATTTTACCAAATCCAAGTTAATAACATTATACCTCATCAACAGTCAGTTACCTAGAGAAAAGCTTAAACTAAACAAGAGATCTACATAACCAATCAGAAGAAGCACATCAAATGTTTCAGGACAGAGAGCTTCAAGTTCACAAAGCATAAAGCTCCACACTGCAAGCAATTTATGATCAAACTACTTATATGGGTAACTGCTTGTAGCAAGCATCATGGTGAACAAAGACTCATACAATGGAAGAACCTGGAGAAGAGCAACATCAATATAAATAGAAGTAGTCAGCCGAGCATCATCAATAAATAAAAAATATTCTGGCTTCATTCAGTAAAATCTAAAAGAAATAGACCAAATACATGGAAGTAGTCAATACAAAACAGGAATTTCAATTTTGATTACTCTGCTCCACCAGACTTTTAAAATACCCTGGGAAGTGCCTAAAGTGTATTCAAAACTACCCCCGGATTTTTAAAATTACTCTTTGATATTGATAACTTTGGGCATGGGACTGCATAACTTTTAGAGCAAACTAAATTTTCCCACTAGAACTCAAAATAAGAAATTCATAACTTATTACTTAAGTCAACGTAACATCCTTACTACTTAAAAACAAAGGTTTCTCAATTCATTCCCAAAATTTTAAAGTTAATTTCACATTGAAGTTACCAAAGCGTTCTGTTTTAATTTACTAACTGAAATATACTATTAGTATTTAATATACTAACTGAAATAACTGTCATTACATGTTGTAGTCATGTACATACTATTGACAAATTTTAATATTGTACCATCTCTATTAAGCTTGGTGAAGATCAGGTTTAACTTGGAGAAAAAAGGTAACTCTCACCTCTGCCTAAATTTCCCCACAGGTCTCTAGGGCCTATCTACAGACTAATGAGTGTGACAAGAGTAAACTTGCTCCAAAATTGGTTAATGGTTACGTTGAGCACCGAACTAAATGCAGACTTTGTATCAAATTATTGAAATTGAAAGTTAATCAAGTTATTTTCCTCTGGTTTATAGTTCCACTGTCCATTTAGTTGACCAATGACCTTTCTTAACTGGAAAAGGAATTAAGAGTTTTAAGGTCCCCTCCATCTCTAAAAAATCCTAAAATACTACCATCCTTTTAGAGGCACATAATAATCCTTGGGTGCAACTCAGGCCAAATACTTTCTAAATAACAATAAAAATACACACAATGAAAAAAAATCTGCAGTTACTTTGAAAAAAGAATACTATCATTAGTTAAGTGATCTTCTAACAGACATATATACACTTACATCTTTAATGCTGGAAACCTAGACTACATATGGAAACACAATACCCACCACAAGCTGCACTGTGTTTTCCACCTTCTCAGTAATCCATTTCTGCTCCCCCTCCAAACCCTTTTATCACCACCTCATTTCCTTTTGGCTTAGCTACTCTTCCTGATCTTTCCTTTTCCACAAATCTCAGATCACCACAGCCCCTTTTGGCATATGTACCTCACTCAATTGTCGTTCCCAACAACATTTTTCTAATCTATCAACTATCTGCACAAATCCCATCTTTACTGAGGCAACTCTGCAAGACAGCACACTGGCAGGACTTCATTATCATGCAGTTTGTCTTGCCTCATGCCCAGAAACACACCACTTTCAACTTGAGATGATGCTGTCAGTGTTCACAAATACATAAGCAACAGTGTATTGAAACTATACAAAATCTAAGCCCTTTGGGCACAAAGGTTGCCAAAGGAAACAAGAACTACCCATTACTTAACACTATATAAACTTTTCCAAAGTTAGAAAGTGCTAGTTTTGAAGAGTCCTGAAAATAACACAAGAGAAAAAAATATGTTTATACATGTCCCAAAGTTACTTCATTTTCCCTTGGCTTTGCCTAACTTCTAAAAAAGCAGAAGTTACATCTACAAAGTTAGCTTAATGACATACCTTTAGACGATTCTCTGTTCCTTAAGTGAGGGGGTATATAGAGCCCTTCTAAAATAGAAAACACAATATTAAAAGCCTATGAAATCCCTCCAAGATACAGCTTTTACCAAAATACCTGCTATTAAATAGATCCTGGAAAACAAACCTTTTAAAACCTGTACTCTACAAGTTAGTTTGCAAATGAGGAAAAAATTTCTACTTTATAATGAATTACTGCTTTATAAACACAATTTTTTTGTTTAAAGAAAAAAAGACTAGCTAGTTTGGCGTACAAATTTCAGTACTTGGATCTTAAGATCATAAATCTTCAGACCAAATTTATTTCATTAGCTACTAGTGTTAATTAAACAAAAATATTTTTAAAAGCTCTACTTTCAGGAAATTGCTATGAATTAACACTAATAAATTAACACTAATCATTAAATATAACCATTGTGCTATAACAGAATAGCCTATCAAAAAAAAAAAAAAAACAGTATTAGTACTAAATTAATTACCCAGTAAGACTTTTTGTTTCTATATAAGTAAGAGAAATAAAAATACATGAACAGCTGGAAGGGAAAATAATTGTTAGAAGGAAAGGAATTGGGTGTTATAATGTTGAGCTTCCTGAAGTCAATCAACAGCTTAGCCCTAGATTAAGAAGCAAAAGCATTTCATCTGTGAAGTAAAAGTCAACTTTATCACCTGATATTCAAATTTTAATTAAAGCTCTTACTTTCGGATTTAACTAAACATATGAAATGTCTCTAGTATAATTAAAGAGACTAGTACATTACAGTATATGAAGAGAATATTATATTTGAAGAGGCTTTTCAGAGTGTAGTAATTGCTTTCTTTGGTTAACAAGTATAATAAAACCCAGGTCCAAGCTGAGGTCTGCTGCCAAATAACCGTCAACCTCCCCTCCTATTCAAACAGTAACCTCAAAAAAGCTTCCAAAAACAAACAGAAACACCACACCCCATGCCCACCCCATTTTCAAAGAAGGCTTTGGTATCTAACTTCTTTTCAAAACAATTTAATATGACCAATCCATGAGCCAAGAATCAGGAGAACTTGGTTTTATCATTAAGTCTCAGGTTCTTGTTCATGGGAAATGAGTAGCAGTAGCTATAGCACATAAATGTGCAGATTCCTTGTATTAGCTTTTACAAAATTCCGATCAATTCACTAGAAGGATGGACATATCCCTCCTCCTTCATACTGGAACAGGATTGACCAGATATAATGTTTTCTAAAAATGATGTGTATTACATTAACTTTCTTCTAAATATTTAAATGTTTTAACTCAAAGAGAACCAGTCTCTCTGTTTTCGAGATATGCCAAAATACTTATTTTTTATTGGTAAAACTGAAGAGAAAAAAATTAAAAACTAGTAACTCAAATGAAATATTAACGTTAAGCTCTGATAAAGATTCTCTCTCTCTCTACACACGCACGCACACACACACACATACATACATACATCCATACATACATACAAAGACTTTACTTACTGTTTGCTGTACTTCCTCCTCCACTCTGATTATCAGAGGAGTTCAGGTCTAGGGCAGCAAACTAGAAGAGAGATATCAATAGCTCACATGCTGACACAATACTAAGGTAAAAATCAAGGCAGCATCACTGAAGACAAGACCTAAATTCCAGTCCTATATCATTTGCTAGTTGCCCTATCTGCCTCAAAATGTTTTAAGAATGTTTTGAAGTCTAGAAAGCATGACAAATGCAGAAGGTAGCCAGTAATACGTCAGCAACAGAGTTCAAATTGATTCATCCAAAGCAAATGTTCTCTGTAACAATTTCCCATAATAAAGCTCCGCAATCACCAAACTAAAACATTAACAACATTTCCTATAACATAACCTTCCGATTTGGCTACGATCATATTAAAGGAATGTTGTCAATGTCACTGGTTTTTCTACTTGGCTTTAAGTTAAAACTAAAAAAAAACAAAACAAAACAAAACAAAAAACCCCACAAAAAACTACACTGGGACAATTTGAAGATTACTTAATTCTTTTATGTGTTAAAGACTGCAACTTGTTAATTCAAACAAATTCCTAACCACCAGAAAAAAAATTTTTTTTTCTGCTCCCCCTCCAAACCCTTTTATCACCCACCACGAAGTGAGCGCGGTGTGGCTCTATCTACTGCATCGTTATAATGCTTGACACTCTAGTGTTAGTTTTTATTTCTCTCCCGCTTTTAATATGAAACAAGCTCACAGGGAAGCAATTCTCCCTTCCCCTCCCTTCTATCGTTTTCCGGTTCTTCTCCCTCACAAAACTTTCCCTCACTACGGAAACAGGGCCTCGTCATGTCAGTACCCGAACTACGAGACAAGAGATGACCATTTCGTTTTCAGTCAGTGACCTCCCAGAAACTCAAACTCCGATCCTCGGCACCACCTAGATACACACAAAGAAGGCCGCCACCATGTTCCCAAGCCGCACTTTCTCCCCGCCACTCACATTCCGTGGCCTTAGTTCACTTTCCGCTTACACACAAACGACGCCTGCGGGCCTGAATCAGGGCCTGCCAGCGACAGCGTAACCCGTCGAGACAAAAAAAAAAAAAAAAAGGTTCTCTTTAGCGCGACCCTCCACCCATCACTCATCAGCCGTGCTCGCACCTGCGCGTCTCCAACGGATACCGCACGGCCCGATCAAACAGTCACGGCTAACGTTACTGCTTCCCCCCCCCGTACAGGTCTTCCTCTCGCCCGATTCCCACAGTTAAATCCACTTTGTTTTCCTATTTCCCCACACCCTCACCATCGCAAAACACAGGAATAAAGGAGAGGTAAAACCAAAGTGGCCAGTTCGAACTGAGCCACAAAAACAGGTTGGGGCATGAAAAGGGTACACGCAGACAGCCTCGGTAGGCTCATTTCGGCTTACCTGCTGGTCCAGCCCGGGCTTATTTTTCCCCTCCACATGACTCATCTCTGAAGAGAACCGAGAACTCGAGTTCTCCGGAGGCACGCCTTGCTAACCCGGACACAGAGCTTCTCCACAGAGGTATACAGCTCGGCAACCGCCGTAATATGCCCACTCCGGATATACGTCAGCACGTAAGACGTGCGTCCTCCTCCTTTGACCCTTCACTCTACCAACCGCTCTACCGCTACTGTTTCTTCCGCTTGGCTAACGTACGTTTTCGTCATAACCTCGCGAGATCTTCTAGTAAATCCCCTCCCAAAGGCTCTCGGAATTGGCGGGAACTTCGCTTCCTCAGCCTTCTCTGTATTATGTTCTCGCACCTAGCGAGAGCGTCCGGTCTGCCGCTTTCTCCAGTTGGAGGATAAGCACAGCGACTGTATATCTCTCGCCTACCGACCCCCCCAGCCCTAGCTTTTCACTTCCTCTAGTGCTCCGTTTCTCTTCCCTTTCAGTTCTGAGAATCGGAAGTTTCGTAAAACTTAGCCGTACTAACTAGCTCTCGCCTGCTCTGAGGAAACTTTATCAAAATCGAAACTAGGTGTCCGGCGTGCTGACCATTTGGCAGAACGGTCAATAGTGGCTTGAATAGAATTCTCCGGCTGCGAAAGCAAAGAAGATGGACTTTTAAGGGGTGTGGAGGGTGATCTAGGTGGAGGAAAGCGGCGCAGCCGGCAGCACGTACGAGTAGCCAGATGCTGCCCGGTTTGAGTGGCTCAGGCTGACCGGACGTTACTAAAAACCCTGGCCCCCTCCTGTTTGCTAGTCCGGACTCCGCCTTACGCAATGAGAAAACAAACAATTGAGCGCTGAATGACGTTGATTATAACGTATCTTCCTGGCGACCTGGCCTGCCCCCCGCACCGGCACGCAGGTTATGATAGGTGCCACGTTTTCCTCAGCTTACTGGAGCCGGTAGCAGCTACATCACTAGGTGTTAGGACTTTTCAGCTTCACTATAATCTGATAGGACCACAGTCATATATGATCCATTGACCAAATGTCATTATGATGCATAATTAGAATGGTATTATCTTTACTAACAACCATACTCAAAACTATGGAGTGATTTTTTATGCCACTTCTCATTCTTTACCCGTTATTCATAAACCATTCCTTCCTTTTCCACCATACACATTTCAAGTTATGCTCCTTGTCTAATTCAGGTCTTTATTATCTCTACGTCAGTATTAAGCAAAAAAATTTTCCCATTAATGCCAATTTTAAAACAATGTCTGTATGAGCTGCTTACCTTCCACAAGCCCACTATCTATTAATTATTCACGTCCACCGTACATCGAGAATAGTATCAGAATTGTTAACCCACATACTCATAGAAGACAACTGTCTCATCTAGAGTACAAAGATTTTATGCAGTTCAAATGGAAACTTTGTTCTTTCAGACACCACTTCTTTCTTTCTTTTTTTTTTTTTTTCAAAAGATGACCGGTAAAGGGATCTTAACCCTTGACTTGGTGTTGTCATCACCACGCTCAGCCAGTGAGCTAACCGGCCATCCCTGTATAGGATCCGAACCCGTGGCCTTGGTGCTATACAGCACTGCACTCTCCTGAGTGAGCCATGGGCCATCCCAGACACCACTCATTTCTAAGGTTACTTAAGTCACCAGCTTTTCCCCACTGCTTTCACTGAGGATCTTTTACACATATATATTAAAAAAAAAAAAAAAAAAAAAAAAGGTCTGTGGATCTGCGTCTTAATTCTTTTTTTTTTCTTTTTCTTATGGATATTCAGTTTTAGAATGTATCGTTTGCTTCTTTGCCAAAGATGAGTTGGCTTTATTTGTGTGGGTCTGTTACTGGGCTCTCTCTTTTCTGTTCCTTTGATCTGAGTGATTATTTTTTACTAAAGTAATCAAGATAATACTATACCTTGAAATCAGATAGTGTGAATTATCCAATTTTGTTCTTCTTCAATATTGTGTAGATTGTTCATTCTGAGTCTTGTGCCATTCTATGTAAACTTTAAGCGTCAGTTTCTTGATACTACAAAATAGTTGGCTGGAATTAATTATTATTATTTTTTCTTTCTTTTTACTACTTTGTTCTTTTTTTTTTTTTTTTTTAGCTTGCTGGAATTATTGTTGGGATTTTGATTTAGATAGTATTGCCCTGAATTTATACATCAAGTTGGGAAGAATTAACATGTACACAATATTGGGTTTCCAATCCATAGCTCTCCATTTATTTATATCTTATTTGATTTATTTGATCAGAGTTTTATAGTTTTCTTCATAGAGCTTCTGTGCCTATTTTGTTAAATCTGTACTGAGGTATTTCATCTTTTCTGCACTACTGTGATATTTACATTTTTGTGTAATATATTTTAAATTTCAAATTCCAGTTGTTCATTACTGGTATAAAGGGAAGCAACCAACTTTTGTAAAATAAACTGGTACACTGCAATTTTGCTATAATTATTTTTTAGTTCCAGTTTTTTTTGTTTATTCTTTGGAATTTTCTACATAGACAACAATGTTATCTGCAAGCCTTTTATTACTTTTTTTGCAATCAAGATATATTTTATTTTATTTTTTGGTCTTACTGCACTAGCTAGGACTCTCAGTATAATGTTGAATAGGAGTGATAAAAGGGGACATACTTGTCCTTTTCCTAATCTTAGAAGGAAAGTGTTCAGTTTTTCACAATTAGTATAACTTTAGCTGAAGATGTTTTGCAGATCTTTGCAACGTTGAGAAAGTTTCCTCTCTAATCCTAGTTTGATAAAAAGTTTGGCTGTTAGATTTTAAGTGGTTTCTATCCATCAATTGATGTTATCATGTGATTTTCTTCTTTATCCTGTTGATGTGGTTGATTAATTGATTTTCAGATGGTGGGCCAACCTTGAATAAATGGGATAAATACCACTTTTTCATGGTATATAATTTTTTAAATATGTTAATAGATTTTATTTGCTAATACTTTGATAAAATTCACCTGTGAAACCTTCAGGGGTTGGTATTTTGGGGTTTTTTGTTGTTGTTCTTGGTTTTTTTTTTTTTTTTGAGTGATTATTAATAATTTATTCAATTTTAAAATTGATATAGTTCCATTCTCATTATCTATTTCTCTTGCCATGAGTTTAGGTAGCTTGTATTTTTTAAGGAATTGGTCTGTTTCATCTAGGTTATCAAATGTGTGGGCACAGAATTGTTTGTTTCATTCCTTTGTTACCCTTTTAATGCCCAAGTGATTATTAGGTGATGTTCCCTCTTTCATTTCTAGTATTAGTATTTATCGTCTGTATTCACTCATCAGTGGGACTTAAGAAAGAAAGACCACAATAAAACATTGAACTCTCAGAAGGAGAGAACAGACCCTTAGTAACTAGAGATGTGAAAGTGGAGGTGGAGGCGGTTAGGGACTAATTGGGTAAGGGACACAAAAAGTAATTATGATTTGTAATCATGAACATGTTGATTAAAAATACTGATTTGACCACTACATACTATGCACAAATACTGATAGTCAACTCTGTACCCTATAAATATGTACAATTTTTTTAAGTAACTTTTGTCTATTACTGAATTTATTGAAGCATTTTTTCTGTGATAATATTTTTGGTTTCTAGCATTTCTTTTTGATTCATTCTTAAGGTTTTCACCGCTTTGTTTGCATTACCCATCTGTGTTTGCATGTTACATACTTTTTTCATTAGAGCACTTAATATTAATCATGATTGTGTTAAATTCCTTGTCTTATAATTCCAAATTCTGAGCTTTATCTCAGTCTTGTTTTGATGCTTACTTGGTATCCTCAAACTATGTTTTTTCTTGCCTCATCATATCTTGTAATTTTTTTGTTGAACGTCAGACATGATATATATGGTGATAGAAACTGAGGTAAATAGACCTTTAAGTGTGAGGTTTTCTGTTAACCTGGATAGGAGGGTGGGCTTGTTTAATGTTTAGCACTAGACAAATTCCTAATTTATAGCACGTAATCTGTCCTGTCTTGTGCTATATGCAATAGAACACATTTATATTCAAATTCCTCTAGTGTCCTGTTTTTCTCTGCCCTTCTTTTGGTTTCATAAGAACTACTTTCTTAATATGGTGGGTCTTGTAGCTCTTTAACCTATAACCCAGTGTTATTAACTGGAGCCCTATTGATGTGGTCATAAGGAGTTTGGGAGGGGAAACAGACCATAATCTCATTATAAAATGTGTCATTTGTGTGCCTGTGTCCTTAGGCTCTGCTTTGACAAGTGTAGTAGTGTTCCTTTTCTTTTTGCTTCTCCTTAGGTGAAATAGGACACCTAATGCAGGTTGGATTTGGGTGATTGCCTGTCTGCCTATGTGAGATAGGCTGTAGCAGTCTTTTTCATTAGAGAATAGGTTTTTATGATAGAGAATGCACTGGGTATATTTCATAATGGTTTTTCCATTTCTCTTGCCAAAAACAAAAGTTGATTTTTCTTGGCCCTTAACTGAAAACTCAGTGTTGTTCCTGGAGCTAAAGTCCATAAAAATATAGCCACCACCCTCTTCCTTTCCTCTTTCACTGTAAGACTGTGGCCCCAATGAATTTCTCAACTGAGCTAGTTCACACACAACCTCCAACAATTTACCAAAATATCCATTTAATTGTTCTGTCAAGTTTATAGCTCCAGCAGCTCCTCTTCAAGTAAACTTATCTCAGTTGTGTATCTCTGTATTTGCCTGTTGCTCCAGGTTTTAGAATGGCAGTTTGCCCTGCAATCTCAATTATCAGAATTGAGAAAAGCCATTGCTTTCTAGTTTTTTGAGCTTTTTTCTTTTTGTAAGGATGAGAGTGAGAACTTCTAAGCGTTTTACATGCTGGAGGTGAAACCAGTAGTACCTGCAACCCTTTTTATATAGAATTTATAGCACATAGTCTGTCCTGCCTTGTATTATATGCAATAGAACACAACTCTCTTTCTGCCACAAATTCCTGTTGACAGAGACTTTTTACCTCTACCTCCTTTTTCCCCCCCTGTGGCTGATCTGTACAGAGATCCAAACCCTTGACTTTGATCTT